ATTACAAATGTTATCAAGCCTAGACAAAAGCTACATCCACTTAGTTTGTTCCCTTATGTATACCAGGGCTCACATAGCTCTTCTGAAAAGATGATAGGCTTCACCTTGCTCTCCCAAAGAAACAAACAAAATGGCTGCTCTGTGGTTGTGAGGTGAAGATTACTGTTGCTTTTAGCATACTTTCTTCATTTCTCCTGACAGTATAGGGTAACATCACCTGTCCAAGTATCAAATAGATCATGTCTTTCTATACCAACTAAATTCTGGCAGAGTAGTCGTGATCTATCCAGCTCTGAATTCATAAGGCACATTGCTCTGCTCGGATATTCTACCCAAGTTCTCCCTCAGGACAGGACATGCAGCAGCTCACCCTGCCTAGCCAGGTGTGTCAATGTTTTAGCAGCTTTTGTGCAAAGCCTCATGACCTCACAGCATCACTGATGCAGTGGGTGTCATGAGCTTTTAATGTAGCTCCTTGGAGAATTATACAGCTGGAAAAGCAGGGACACAGCCTTAGCCAAAGAGTTTTCTTATCAGAAACAATAAGTTTTGTTGTCTTGATGTGTTTTAAAATTTGTATCATTTAATCAGGCACCTAAATTTCTCTCAAGGAGTTCAATTTTAGATGCTTTTTAAAATTTTTTAGTGTCCTTACTCTGAATTAATGATTTTTCAGCTAATGTTCCTTACACAAAATACAGTAATCAATAATCTTATAAAAAAGTACATTATTGTTGATGGTTAATATGTTAATAATAACAGTAACCTAATAACATGTACTTCATACAACCTAAGAATTAGTCTGTTAAAAAGAAATAAAACATGTAGTGGAAATAAAATCAGGACAGTGGACTTTCAGATATATTAATTACATTTCATTTGGTTCTAGAATAACATGTGTTACCATGAAAACACTTCTTAAAATGTCATCTTGATTAATTTCTCAGTCACCCCATTTGGCTTCCAAAGTAGTTGTATCTGATGTTTTCATGACGCACAGCTTTTAAATTAGTCTTCCTGGATTAATTTTTTAGTTATGGCTGGTTAATTTTTTTTAATCCTGGTGAAACAGTAGAGAAATGAATACCTTTTCTTAATAATCTTTTGCAGAAAATTCACATATTCACAATGTTACAGCCGCTTTTGAAAATATTTTCTCCAGTGGTACTAATTTGATGTTGAATTGTTTGTTTGAAAGACCCAGTTTTCTGTTCAAAAAAGCTTTAATTATATTTTGATAATATTGACTATAAGGGTTGACCTTTATTTTGTACCTTTTTGCAATTTATTATTCCTTTCATCATGCCTTGTGTAACTTAGACTTCTATGTCTCTTTTCCATGAGATCATATTTAGAGGGATGTTTCTGATATAGAATCATAGAATTGTTTAGTTTGGAAAAGACCTTTAAGATCATCAAGTCCAACCATTAACCTAGCACTGCCAAGTCCACCACTAAACCATGTCCCTAAGCACCACATCTACAGGCCTTTTAAATACCTCCAGGGATGGTGACTCCACCACTTCCCTGGGCAGCCTGTTCCTGTGCTTGACAAGCCTGTCAGTGAAGAAATTTTTCCTAATATTCCATCTAAACCTCCCCTGGCACAACTTGAGGCCGTTTCCTCTTGTCCTATCACTTGTTCCTTGGGAGAAGAGACCAACAGCCACCTGGCTACGGCCTCCTTTCAGGTAGTTGTAGAGAGCGATAAGGTCTCCCCTCAGCCTCCTTTTCTCCATACATATGTTGTATGATATATGAAACAAAATGGTCATTGAAAACATCAGGCGATCACAGTGCAGGTTTGCTCTAACAGAGTTTGTTAGAGCTTTCCTGGTTCTGTGTAAGCCATGAATGAAGTTCTCTGTGGTCATGAGTCCATAATACAAAGTGACAGCTGTATTAACAGTGGGATCCAGTTTCCTGAAACATGTAGGCATTTAATCCCAGTTTAGGCTCCCAAAAATTTCCATGGTGTAGTAAGTACCCTGGGGGCTCTAAAATAACATTAGGAGCCTATATTTAAGAAACTGAATTCTAATCTATGTACAGTCATCTATAAATTGTTGAAATCAAGTAATTCATTTAAGTTCTTGCATGTTTTTCTATAGCAGTGTAATTTAAACGTACATACAGGTGGAAACAAATTCTAGAGATGTAGACATCTGTTTTGATCTTATTTTATGTCATGATTTTTTATAGTCAAATTGGCAGATACTGTAATAGGCATACTCTTCTTCTTAGATAAAACTCATAGTCCAGATTACAGTGGATTGTAAATGGGAGAGGGAGTTTTTCTAGTTTACCAGATGGGTTTCTGTTGTCTGGAGCAGTCATAGATACACCGCTTTGGGGAATACTCCAGAAGGTGATGCTGTCAGTCATTACCTGTAGTCACATGAAAATTAGCTTTGTTCTTTTTGCCATAAGATGTAGTTATAATATTTTTTCTTTTACTTTTGTTAGCCCTTTTTTTTTCATTTTCCTTTTTAGTTTTCTTTTACTGTGCTTTCTCTTGTTTCTGTCTTGAATTCAGAATCTGTGAAATTCTATTTCTTCTTATCAATTGGATCAGAATAGCTGATCCAGAAAATGAGTTTACAAATAAGTTTTGCTGTTCTTATGCAGAGGAAAAGCCATTTGATGTTTTTTTTCTCAGTGACACATTCTTCAGCACGCTGAAGGATTTCTCTACTTGATGTACGTAACATGTAATGCTTGGAGGAGTCTTGTTTTACTCTTCAAATTTGCACCACACCAAAGGCCTTAAAATTTCAGTACAAAGAGATTATAGCCCTAAAGCAGTTTTGCTTAGTAGTGCCAATAAGGACTCTGAGCATAAATCTAGAAATGGTATTGTATTAGACTTTGTTGTTGTTGTTTTTCCTAACTTCTTGTTGTGGTTTAACCCCAGCTGGTAACTGAGCACCATGCAGCCACTTGCTCATCCCTCTGCCCCCCAAGGGGATGGGGAGGAGAACGGAAAAAAAACTCATGGGTTGAGATAAAGGCAGTTTAATATGAAAGGAAGAGAATAATATTACCACTAATAATATACCACTAATAATAGAAGTGATGCACAAATGCAATTGCTCACCACATGCAGAAAAAACACCCCGATGCCCAGTCTGTTTCCAAGCAGCAATCCCACCTCCTGGCTAGCCTCCCCAGTTACATGTGGAGCATGAATTTACATGGTGTGGAATATCCCTTTGGCCAGGCTGGGTCAGCTGTCCTGGCTGTGCTCTCCCAGCTTCTTGTGCACCTGGCAGGGTGTGAGAAGCTGAAAAGTCCTTGACTTAGTGTAGACACTACAACTATCTAGCAACAACTGAAAACATCAGTGTGTTATCAACATTATTCTCATACTAAATCCAAAATACAGCACTATACTGGCTACTAGAAACAGAATTAACTGTCTCAGCTGAAACCAGGACACCTGTTCTTATCTGAGGAAGACAGCTTTTCTGCACACTATAGTGACAACGATAGAAAACTAGTTGACATGCACTTCTTAGGATCTTTATTCTTACAACTAGCTGACAGTGGAGAAGGACATTGTGATTAAGAAGCCACAGGAACTGACATTTGGGTACAGATCAAACAAAATCTGACTTGTAATGCCCTTAAAAATTTTTTGGTGAAACTGCATAAAGCAGAATGCAGAAGTACTGGCAGAAAACTTGTCTCATAAAGCTTAAGTCTCTTAACTTTTCAGAGATTGCAGCAGCTTTCACTGGTTTGTTCTTTTTTTTTTGTCAAAGTCCATATTGAGGCCGCAGCATTTTTAGACATATTGCAGGCTGACCATGTTCCAAGGAGTACTCTTGATACTGTGGGTATTGGTAGGCTTTTACCACTTTTTAGAGACAGAGTCCACCTGTAACCTGGCTTCATTTGTGTTAGCCTTGAGCAGTATGATAGAATGATTCCATGTGAATTCTTTTTCATACCTAGCTTTTTATGAAATAAGTAGTATTTTCTCTGGGCACGTCAGGTTATTTGAGCAGTAGAACCACTACTGCAAGAGCAGGTGTCAAATTGTTGTTTAATCTAAATGTGCATGAGTTAAATAAGTTCAGTAGCTTTCGAAGAGCTTTAATCTTTGCTAATTTGGTCGTTAAGTTCATAGTTGCTTGCACTGAGAGGCAGAATTTTGAAGGAAGATATAAAAGACTCAATTTGAGAAAAAAAGTCAATTTTCAAATTTATACAAACTCTTTTTCCTGATTGAGTTTTACTAGCTAAGAGATTATCTCCAGAACGACAGTATTTTGTCCTGAAGGAAGTTGTGGAACAGAACTGAGTTTAATTGGATTGTCACTCTGTAAAAGTCTGTTAACGATTAATTCTTCTGACAATAACTCTACGCTAACAATTGATCCATGCACGATAATGGCTTTATTTAGCTACTGCTCCAAATACAGATCTTTATATTCCTGCTTCCAGACTGTGCTTTTGTCTTCCAAGAATTACCTCAGTACACTCACTCAAAGTATTGCCTGTGTTCACGTGAAGGAAATCCACTGCCAAAAACTATGATATCCTGTCCAAAGATTTTATGCATACCATGATTTCAAACATGTTCTGAATGAAGACGCAGTTTTAGTGTGAAGGAATGGAGCAGATTAGTAAAAACCTATTTCCCTTCTCAAAGTCTTCCATGACTAGGGCTAAAATATGTGCAAGGAAAAATCAGTATTACTGTTGAAAATGAATTAATAAAGTTTATAGATCTTAATAACCTTATTAACAATTCAGGATTTTTCATAAACAATGAAAAAAGGAACGATGGAGTACAGTAACTGTTTTCAGTGTGTTAATAATAGTGTTGTATAGCTCTTGGCTGAAACCTTATAAAATAGTATTTTCAGTGTTTATTTCCTGTATTAGAAAGTCATTGTCATACAGTTTGTCCACAAACAACGTTATCATCTCTTGTTTATTTTTCCACACAACAGTAAAACTATTAATAAGATTTCTATTTGCTTTTTCCACAGAACTCAAATCAATTTCACAGTAGCTATTGATTTCACAGCCTCAAATGGTAAGAATAAAAATAAACTTCTTGTGTATGTATGTGCTGTGTTCAGTTTTAAGTGTATGTGTGTGTCTCTATGTATCTATATTAGTATTCTACTTAACTTCATTGTATTATTGATTATCTGTATGCCTGGCAGCACATGGAATCAGGATTCCATTTTGCTGAGCAACAGACTAGAGGCCAATTCCTGTCCAGTAAAGCGGGGCAAACAGAACAGATAAAAATTGAAAAAGCTGCATATAAAATTGAATAAGTAGGAGCAGTTTGCAAATATTTGTGTACTTTCTGATTTTTATTTTTTTTTTGTATCTTTATTATTGCTGGGAGAAAACTGGCTAACATAGAGGACTCCATTGAGAGGGGCAAAGGAAAGGAGTTTCAGGTGGAGTGAGGCTGAAGTGGGGTGAAGCAAAGATAAGTTTTGATCCTCCTCCAAAGCTGCTTTCAGAATGTGATCATACTTTTGTAAATGTCATCTTAAAAGTCTATATCATATTATAAAATGACACAAATTTACAAGTCCATTCAGAGTTTCTTGCTGCCCATTCAATGCTGAAAAGATTTACAACTACTACTCTTCACCTACTAAAATGTATTCAGAACATTGAGTTTTTACCTGATATAACCACAGGTATGTATATAGGAATTAAGTTAATTTTCTTTTAATTTCTGCTTTCTTAGATTTCTGTCATTTTTAAGAGAGAACATTTTGAAGTGATTCAGTTTGAAAGTAAATCTGATCCTTGCTTCAACAGGTAACCCCTCACAGCCTACTTCATTGCACTACATGAATCCCTATCAGCTGAATGCTTATGGCATGGCACTGAAAGCAGTAGGTGAAATCATTCAGGACTATGATAGTGATAAAATGTTTCCAGCTCTAGGTTTTGGAGCTAGACTGCCTCCAGATGGAAGAGTATCACATGAATTTGCACTGGTAAGTAAAGAAATATTTCTATATTGTTTGCATTTCTATACTACAACAAAATTTTGGGAGTTAAGATTGCAGTCTTAGGCAATTACTGGACAAGTAAAGAAAAGAGAATGTGCTAATTCTTCTGTGGAAAAGACTATTTCAAAATACTTCATCATAGTGAAGTTGCTGACAGAAATCCAGACTGAAGAAGTCCCTGTAGGGCAAAAATAGTAATAAAGAAAAGTAATCATCTTTAACCTCAGCTGTAGCAGCATGAGAAACAGATGCTTAAAAGACTTCAGATTGAAGCTAATCTATCTTAAGAAGCAAGCTGAATCATGATCCAAGATAATCTTTCATTATTATTGTTCACTCTCATTTTCTGGGATCTCTCTACCGTTTACAGGCTGCTAGTTTAGAGACATAGAGATAACTAGGTGGACTATAAGCTGAGGTGACAAAAACAAATCTGAGACTGGTCCATGTGCCAATTAAATTACAAACCTAAAATCTAACGGGGCTTGCCAGAAAGGTTGATGTGTTATAACTGATGCTTGTGATTAGCGTGGATGTTTAGCTACTTCCTTATTTTGAGGTTTTTGTTCTTCTGTGAGTAGGATAAAGTTGTCAGAATTATGGCAAGTGTAATTATATCAGGTGAGTTTTAATTAGATAGCAGCAAAGACATGGCAGAAGACTGGTAATTGTAGATGTGTATTTCTTCAGTCTCCCTGTGCTAGAAAACAATGCCACGTGTCTTATCTCAAGGAAGGGTTTTCCACATGGATAATAATTTAACACAGGTGCAATTGCAGATGTTAATTTGAATCACAGACTTTCTTTGGACTTTAGTGTAGAAAGTTCGAATATATTGATACATATAATCTTAAGGCTGTTAAAACAGCAGACTTATTCCTGGCTACTTTCAGTTTTAAAAGTTGTTTCTAAAATTAATTCAGTTAATACACGAGGCATTGTGGTGCTTTTATAGAGGAAAAAATAGTCTTTTTTTCCTTCCTCCATATATAAACATAGATAGATGTCTTCCATTTAATGCTACGCAGTGTTTTCAGCACTCTCTTTTAACATTCTAGATCAATTCCATGAAAAATCTCCTTTGCTTTTCTGGATTGTCAGGGAGGTATACTCTGCCTTGGGATGAGATACTGGCACATTAAGCCAATGAGATGTTGGGACATGAAGGAAAATAAGGTGATTTAGGAGGTTTTGAAGCCTTACGTGAATCATTTGTCTGGCTTGACATAGGTCATTAATCTGGGATTTAGCTTATATGTTTGTATTATCGTCTGTAAATAGGTATCCTCATTATAGAGTCATTATGGAGATAGGTAGTAAAATGCCTGCCCAAAGAATTTACAGGCCCAGCCATTTCAGTGGGTTCCCTTTCTTCATCTGTTTATACCAGGCTGACAATCAGTTTTCTAATGCAGAACAGTGTACCAAAATAATGAAGAGTTTATAGTTTACCTTATACTCACATAGTGTATGAATATCAGGCTCTGGCTACCACTTCTGTTTTTTTCACATTTTTAAAATAAGAAATAATTGAGTCAGAACCGTGGTCCTAAATATGATTCCAGTTGTACATCTGCCCTGTAATTCATACCTTAAATCCACACAGGGAAATGCCTGTTACTGCTGCAGGTAAGAAAGACTGTTTAATTCCACTTTAGATGGTATTTATGTCTAGGAACCAGTTCCAGTGAGTGATTCAGACTGCATATAACATGAGGCTGCTAGAACCTCCTTCCCTAGGCAGTTAACATAACCAGCCATGGCACTTAGCTTCGGCATTTGTACTAAACTCTCTGAATAGATTCTAGAATGGTTAGGTCTTTGCCATTTAAAAACGTACACTGGGTAGTGTTCACTAGCCTACATAATTTTTGCTTCATAATTACTTCTTGTAATTAATCATCTCTTATTTTCATTAGAATGGAAACCCTCAAAATCCATACTGCCATGGAATTGATGGTGTAATGGAGGCATATTACAGGAGTCTAAAATCTGTACAGCTTTATGGACCAACGAACTTTGCCCCTGTAATTAATCATGTAGCCAGGTAAGTGTCGCAACGGGTACTTCACAGAAACTTGTCAGTACAACTATCACATATAAAAGGCTAACAGATACATGATGCTAAACATAGTAAAAGGTATTTACAGTTTTGTTTATTCAGTGCAACGTGATTAACTTGTACCTTTGAGTAGGTTTGAAGACCATGTGCTAGTAATATGCAGAATTTCATCACTGATTAAAAATAAATACAAGTGATCCAGTTGATCCACCCTGTTTTAAAATCTTAGGAGAGATCATAAAGAAAATTTTTGTGAGATCACTGTCATGTTCCTTTTTTGTCCTTTGGAGAACAGAATTTTTGCTTCACAGAACAGACTTAAATCTATCAAAAATTTAAAAAATACATTTTTTTATGCATATGTAGTTCCTCTAATCTTAAAATGTCCAAAACATCAACAAAATTTTCCAGGGTGATCTATGGCTACAATTCCCAGCTGGTAGTGGTACTGTTAAGGCAATAGTACAGCAACCACCACTGGGGAGCCACAGTGCTGTGTTATGCAACACCTTGTCTAACTTCTCAAAGTAAAACACTTGTGTTTGTAGAAGTTTATTAAGAAGGATAATGTTGCCTTATTTTGGTAGAAAAGATCTTGACTTACAGTATCCCTCCATGTGTTGGTGTAAGAAAAGTGATATGGCTCAGATAATTTAGCTGAGTAACTACCTGAACAGATTTTATTTTATTTATAGATATAGAGGAAGGACTAATGTTTCTAAAATGAAGCAGTAGGGATGTGTAAATCATTGTACTGTTAATGTTTTATTTGCGAGCTTGCAATACAGTTAATTGTTGTAGCAAGAAATACTTATTTACTATCTGTTCTTGCTGCTGTTAGTTCTACAGCCCAATGAAAAAGAATTTGCAAATTCTATGGTGCAAAGAATTTTCTGTGCATCCCAGCATGACTAGATAGCTGATTTCAGTTATTTATCATTAGGATTAGTTGTTCTATCTTCAAATCATACCATTCAAATTATGTTCCTGTACATTGCATTTCTTGTCTTTAGCAACTAGCTGTCTCCTTTTAATCTTCCCTTTCACAGGGTCTCTTCAGTTTTCAGACTGTGAGGAGATATGCCAATCCTTATGACAGCTGAATTCCATGTATGTGGCATGCAGTGTCTGCATTAGCTATGTTGACTGGAATTCTCACCCATTGACTTTTCTGGCTCTGCCTTCTTCTTTAGAACTACCATAGCAGCTGATCTGGCTGGTTCAGAGTTTGGCAATTAACCTCAAGCCTCCTGTTCATTGCAAAAATTGAAATTCATCATGTAGTATCATCAAAGCATTGGTATAAATTGAGTTGCTTTTCTCACCAGTTGTTTCTCAGGAATATTTGTCAGCTTTTGCAGAATTACAGAAGCCTCCCACCAGCATTTGTAGTTCTTCCACTGAACTTTTGTCTAAATATCAAATTGTTGCAAATCACACTACATTACAGTGGAAAAGCTAAATATCTTCATGAAGAGTTCTACTGTGTGGTGGTCCTTAATACAATCCATGTACCAGTCCAGTTCTCAGTAACATTTTCCTTCAAGGTTCAGTTTCTTGGCTATTCTATTAACTCTGATAGACATGGTAGTAGAAATTATGATCTAACCTGCAGTTACTCTTTGAACCTACCTTCAGTCTCAAAGAAATTTCTTCTTCCCACATCCCTCCTACTTAAAAATATGCCTCAGATGAAATCTCTGGAAACTCTGTCAGATATTACTATCCTGTTGTGATCTTGGAACTCTTCAAAAGCTCTTTAAGCAGATAATGAGTTTATTAACTCTCTAGGTAGGGGTAGGATATCTAAACTACACCAGATTCTACCTAGTGTCTTCTGTCATCTCCCCTCCTCATATAAGATCTTTCTTGCGGAAGACTTCAGAATGTTTTATGCTGTGGAAAATTTGAAATAACCAAATTTCTATTTCATTTCTTTAGTATAGGTATGTAGACAGTATTAAGCGCTTAGAAAGGATAATAGATTTTTATTTTACTCTCTCATCATCCCTTGTCACTGCAGTCATCAAAGCAAAGATTATAAGCGTTGTGGAAAAATGAGATAAAAGAAGTCACCACATGGTAGGGAAAATGTATTCCACAGTAGGTCTTGTTAATCTAGATATTTAACTCTCAGTCGCTACTGCCAGCATGCAAATAGATGATGTGCAGCAGGTTCATTGTCTGTGTGGCTTTTCTACCCATCTATATCTTGGGGAGGGAGAGGCAGCAATGTGATGGCTTGATGTGAGTTGTAGATTCCATGTCACACACATTCCTCCAAACTCTTGTAAATGTTGTTTACAGCATCTTACTTATTGGCAGTACTCACTTGCAATGCACTGTGTAACATCAGAGTTGGAATTTTCTAAGCACATGCAGTCACCGTGAGCAGCATTAGAACATACCCTGTTCAGTGATGCAGGCCTTCCATGTTCAATGACCAATCAGATAGTGAGTTCTTTGACAGTCATATTCTGTACTTGGGCATATATTCCACAGTATTCATATGGAGACTAATTTTTTTTTTATTTTTTTTTTTGTCCTGCTCTCCATACTACTCATTGCCACTTCTATTACAAGGTTCTACTATATTTGACTCCTTCACAACACCAAAAGCCTTCATGAAAGTAGTAACTATATTGGCTGCTGTCAAGTGAAGCAGCAAGTGGAGCAGACCAATGCAAAAAAAAAAAAAGTTCTTCATTAACTGTATAAGACACTTTGACGTTTGGGAGTTGAAGTCTTAGTTTCTGGTATGCAGGCCATAGAGTTCAGTGAGGCTGCTATGGACTTTCTATCTTTCAGGACTTTCCAAATCTTCAAAAGCTGCTCATTTTCAAAGAGCAGTTCCTTCTTGGGCCCTTTGGCTGAGGCGGGACTGGAACAGCACTGGATATCTTTTGTCTTGTGTTCGTGTACAGCACAGGGAGAAGCTTGAGTCTTGAAAGCACATCTGTGGGTGGTGCAAAGAGATTAATATCTAAGCCAGGGTTGCGGGGTGCATGTTCAGCCATTTTACAAATGTACATATAAGTGGGAACTATAAATCTGCTAGTATGGGCAACAGTAGGTAACCTGGTTTTGTAAGCCCCCCAAAAAATTAATGAAATATTTATGCAATGTGCTGGTTCCTGATAAATTTTATTTGTGTGCTCTAAAACCAACCATTCAGTAGTAATATATTTCCTTCATACCAACTATGTTGCCCAGAGGTAATAACTATTAAATAACTTAGACTTTCTAATGATGCATGATTCTATAAAGGGCATTCTGTCCACGCTCCTCTGAGTAGTGAATTTTCTTCACTTATTCAACACATACAGATTATCACTATCACTATTGTATTAATTACGTTTTTCTAATGTTCTCACTTAATAGTAGAATGTCCATCTTAATTATGAATGTCTTTACTTTTGAAATGCACTGCATCATGTTTCTTTATTTTTATTAGTCCTTAGTAGTCAAATTTTTAAAATACAGCTTCTTTTTGTATCAGTTTCTTTGTATAAAGGGCTTTTTACTATTATAATGTTGTTTTTTCTTCCCTTAGATATGCTGCTTCAGTAAAAGACGGCTCCCAGTATTTTGTTCTTCTCATTATTACAGATGGAGTTATTTCTGATATGGCTCAGACAAAAGAATCCATAGTGAATGTAAGTTTTGCTGAAAGTGTTAAAATTTAAAAGAATTATGTTTCTAGGAATTAATATTTTAGGCAAGAAACTGTATCAGTTAATATTTCAGGCACAAAATTTGTTCCATAAATTAACCATTTTTTCCAAACAGTGAAAGTTTATTATGCATAAAGACAAAAAGAAACCAAAAGTTGAATCTCAGCTTAATTAGTGTTCTCTGGGAAATGATACTCTTCTCTCTAACACTGTATGTTCATAGGATTTTCCTCATCTGATTCTTGCCACCTCCTTCCTCCTCCACATCCTACCATGCAGTTTTTCACAGTGAACTGTTATTTATCTCTCTAGCAATTGCCAGCTTTGATCCCCACCCCCTGCCTTTTTAAAAACTGCCCCAAACTTTCTGATTCCAAATGGCAAGCATACTAGTCATCTGATTAGCTTTTAAATAGTCCCTTGAAATTTAAAAAATTCTTAATTTTCTCAGTTTCTGCATTATTTTCAATATTTTTCTCTTCAAAACTGCTATGCTTATAAGTAATATTTGGTGTTATGAACAGGTTCCATTTTTCTTTTGCCCCTGGAAATGTCAGGTGAAAGTACACAGAAACAGCTTCCAGGCAGGGTTTAAAAACATCTATACTAATAGTTTTGAACACACCACAGTGGATCTAGTTACTAGTGAAGTGGTGAGTGAAAAACCTCCATGAAAATAATTAAGGATCATGTCAAAATGAGTAGTGTAGAATTAGGTGGCATATTTTTGAAGGCCCACTTTCACTACCTCCTGTAGAGATTCGATACCATTCCAGTTTGTCGGGTGCATATGAAAATATTAATGAAATGGTCTGTCTTTCACTGGAGAGCAAGATGCCCTCAAGTTCTAGCCAGCAGCATGTAGAGAGAGTCTGTGTGTCAGTAAGGACTCTTGCAGCCCACCTGGTAAGTTTTTACACCCAAAGCTACAACCGTGTTTGAAGCTACCAGTTTACTTCCTCTCCTCGTCCAGCTTCCAATATTAAAATAGGATAAAGTGACTCTTGCTTTTAAAGGAGACAAACCAGCTTTTAGCTTGGAAGTTCATCCTCTAGTCTAGCCTAGAAGTTTGGAACATAGCTTCTTCTAGGTGACAGAAAGGCTCTGTGGAGAAAAAAGAGCAGCTCTTGATTTAACTTGCCCCTCAATTTGAAGTCCATAAGAGGCCAGCAAGTCCAGTTGGCTGATATTTTGTAAGATTAAGTAATTTGCCACTAAGACATACAGAAAAACCTTCTTTCCAGTAATAGTTCATTTCCAGGAATAATAGCTGTTATTCTGCAACTGTCTGGAAATACAGTAGATGTGTTGTTAGCTTGGAATGAGTGGAAGTTTGGGAATATTTGCTGTCTTTTCTTTTTATGCAGATGCATTCATTTTTCTGTATACTTCTTGAAGTGTGAGCACAGTATACTATGACAAAAATAATTAAATGCTATTCAATAGCAGTTTTTTCTGTCTTAATAATATCCAAAATAATAAAAAAGGCAGTAATGTTCAATGCAACTTGATATGTGTAAAACTGAGGAAGAGTATATTTCATTCTTTAACATTAATTGTGCTTTTAGGCATCTTTCTCATTACAGCATACATGTCAGACACATTCTGTTTTACTGAACTGTTTAAAGGTTATGCTGTCATTCAGGAAATGCCAACACTTAAGTTTGTATGCAAAAGTTTAACTCTTTGTCTGTATGCTGTCCTTGCCACTTACTCTTTCATATACATTATATCACATAATACTGTGTCTCTGTGAGTATTTTAAAGGATGTTTTCTTTACAATCAAGCAATAAGATTCTAGAAAACATCTGAAAAACAGTGTTCTGTTCTAAGAAATGCCTTCATGTCTGGCAAATATTCTATACTCACTGACTTACGCAGTGCACTGTAATTAGTTACAGTTACACTGTATTTATGGCCCTTAATCACAGAATGACAGACTGGTTGAGGTTGGAAGGGACCTCTAGATGTCATTTTGTCCAACCCTCTGCTCGAGCAGGGCCACCTAAAGCTGTTTGCCCAGGACCATGGCCAGATGGCTTTTACTAATACCTTCACTAGCATATTAGTATTTACTCTGCTACAAAATTTTAGCTGGAAGATTGACTATGTAGTAACACTTTGTGATGAATTTGCAGTCAATGTATGGTATATAGTGTATAATGTATAGTGATGTAGTACATTAAATAGTGATTTATAGAATGGCATATTTTCATTGTTTTAAATAAGCGTGTTTACAGTCATTAACTGTAAATCTGCTTAAAGAAAGTTGGTTTTATATGTAGTAATATGACAGATGAAGAATGGGAAATGATGATGATGTATCTAAAATGAGAACATCTTTTAAATGAGGGAGAAAAACACTTTTTATATTCCAAAAGAAAAATATAACAGTATGTTCTAAACCCACTTGACTTCAGACTTCAGTGAAGCAGAGTTTAATTTAGCAGGAAGTGTACATCTATGATTTTTGGCCAGTGTACACTCCTGTTTGAAATTACGGTAGAAATTTCACAGTTCAGCAGAATATCTCAATAAGGAACAGTTGTCAAACCTGACATTTGGTAGATGGATTTTTTTAGTTGCTACCCTCCTCAACAGAGGCAGTTTCAGATTATTTCTGTAAGCTAGCAGATATCAGGGCAGGAGAATCCAATATTTATGATACTGTCTTTGTAATTTTAAAGGTTTTACAGAGAGTTTATTCAGGGAAAGTCAGATATTGTCTTTGTCTTGTTTCATTGAATGAAAAAGATTAAGTAAAATTAAAAATCTTACTGTAAGCCAGTTCGATATCTTGTTTACTTTGTGGCATGGAAGACTGACTTGAATAAAATTTCATTCATTGAAGAAATAATAATAAAATAATAAAAAATAAGAAATAATAAAAAAGAATAAAATAATAATCTGCCTTTCTATCTTCATCCAAGATGATTTGTACCACTTAATCAGACAGTTTACACCACTCACCTTTTTAGGCGGAAAAAAATGTTCTTTAAAACATAACTTCTGCATAGTTTTTATTCAGATTGTCCTCAGATCTCAGATATTATTGGCAGAAGTTATGTAATGTGTTAAACCTCTTTTTCTTCTTTTGAAGGCTTCAAAGCTTCCAATGTCAATAATTATAGTGGGAGTAGGACCAGCAGAATTTGATGGTAAGTGTTCTAGTGTTTTTCCTAGAATTTTTCATTTTTGTTTACATTTTAGCAATATGTGGCTTTTCAAACAAATATTGTTCTTTAAAAGAGCATAATATGGAACAAGCAGTAAGTACTGTTGACATTTCCGGCTGGATTGATTGATAACTCAGTGTGATTACAAGCTACCATGTGGAGCTGTGTAGCCCCTCAGGCTCTCTGTTCAAGTCACAGAACCATATGGGGGCTCAGCATTTGCAGAGCTCCAGAAGATGAGTGGAAAAAAACTCCACAGTAAAGTAAGTATACTCAAGTAATGTTGAATTTCTTCAACATGGATATTTAGTGGCCTTGTGAAGTGTCAGTTGACTGGAAATATTGATGATCTGTTCTTACTGCAGTAATAAAATACGAAGAAAAATAAATACATTTGAGGAGGTGCTCTGGGTTAAACTGGGTTTCACTATATAACATGAGTGAGCCTTACTGTGTAGCAGCATTGAGAGAATATTACAGCAGGAGAGAAATTACCAGGATTATTTACATATTCTTTCATGTGATGTTCCAGAACACCATCCTCTATTTCAATAACTAAGCTACTTCCATTATTTGGAATAATTTATTAAGTGCCATCATGTATATCACTGCACTATGGAGTGTAGACATTCCCTGTATATCAATTCCTCAAAGTCCTACATCCTTTCATTGTAACTCTAGTACTTCTGGTTAGACAGTATGCCTTCTTTTGTACATGAAATATACTTAGTACTACCACAGATGTATAATGTAAATAGTTGTTAATGACTGTACATGATAATTCTTTTACAAATATTCTAAGAGTATGAAAACAAGAGGAAAAAATAACACAAGAAGAATAATTTACTGGGGGTTGACTTTCTTATGCATTTTGGCAAGTGTTAGTGATAATTTTAAGTATCTTATTCGTTGAAGAGATGGTCCTGGTGGACACTAACACTTCAGATGTTTGTATGCCACAAGGAATGAGAAAAGACAGTTTATCTTCATAAATGCATATGAGGGAAATTTGCAAACTTCCTTTTTCCCTGTGAGAATTCCGATGTTAGTCGTACGTTACTTACTTTTCTCTCACCCCTCCCTTGCCTTTTCCCTTTCTCCTTTTTTGTCCAGTCCTTGCGTTTGTCCCTTAACTCAGTCAGGACATGTAGATTCTGTCTTCTTTTTACTTCTGGAGGTTGTCTTTGCAGGGTTCTTGGGGTGTCATTGCTATTGCTTTTCTTAAGGCAGGATTCTGTTTGCAGTGCAGGATGCAGTTTCCATCTTTGGACCCACAGTCCATGAGTATACTGCCTCAGCGAAATTCACCTATTAGATGTGTGCCAAATCTGTAGTCCCTCAGTGTCCAGGAGGGCAGAGAAATGACTTTTTCATCTGCAGAAATTCCTTCTGGAAAAGACAACAGACTCCATGTCTGATGTGGATGCTGAAGAGGTGTGTGTGTAGGAGGGTGTATGTTCCAGGCACACTGTCTTACAATTCAAATGCCAGTCAAGCCTCAGTTGTGCTGTAGAGAGACCAAGCTACTCCTCTCCAGGTATCACTGGTCCCTAGATCTTCCAGCCTCTGGGGGCTACCAGAGGGCTTCTTAAAAGTCTGGAGGTCCCATAGATGGCACATTGTGTTGGTTTTGCGTGGCAAGG